ACCCTAAAAAATCGTTTGACCCCTAAAACCCTGAAAACGAAACCCTAATACAACATAGTTAACCCAAACATAAATGATATAATGAATAAATAATTTTGAAAAAATGGCATTTTTGCAAAAAAAAAATATAAAAATATGGCATTTTTGTAAAGTGGCACTTGAAAAATAGTATTTTTTGAAATTTCTCAAAGTTATTTTGGATATTTATTTGAATTTGAAAAAAAAACAATTTCAAAATAAGATAAAAAATAAAATTGGGTCAACCCCAATTAAATTAGGACACTTGACGTTGTTTCTTGGAATATTTAATACATGTGCACTTTCATCTGCCACGTAATTAAGACATGTGTCCGTTATGTAACACATAGTTGTGCGCCAGTTTTTTAGTTGCGCACATTTGTTAATAGTTGTACTTTTGGGGTTTCGCTATTTTTTTTAGTTTTACCTTGTTATGAAAAACAAATTTTCAGTTAAGAAACACATTTCTTATGTTACCATGTCAAAATATGTGGAAAACCACATTTCTTATCAATTTTTGCATAAGAAGGTCTATAGCATTATGAAACATCTCTTAAAAGTATAAGGTGATTGATAGAAAATTCAAAATATGAAATTGTATAAATCGAATATTTTTAAAATATCAATTATAGAGAAATAAAATAACTAATATTGTGCTTTTATTAAAAAATTTCAAAACAAAAAATAAATATTTATGATTTTTTAATACTAAATATTGCTTATTATATGATATGAAACATGTATTTTACTAGTGAAATATTTTTTGTTGCCAAAAATACAAATCAATTTTAAAAAAAAATATTCATTCATCTAATAAATTACTAATTTTTGTTAAAAGAATATAAATTGTTTTGACATGGAAATTAAAATAGGTAAAAACGAAATAGTAAAAACTTCTTAGTTGTACCTAGTATTACCCAGAGATCTACTAATCATCAACGATTCACTACGATTCAACCACTGTGGGATGTTACGTTGCTTACCCAATGCAATGTTCTAATCGATCCATATTCTATCCATTGCAATGTGCATACGAGATATATAATTGTCCAAATTCAATTGAAACATAAATTATGATTGCTCAAATTCTTGTTTCGAACAAGGAAAATTGATTAATAAACTAATAATTAGTTCGATTTAAGCTAAAAACGTATGCCAATTTAGCTTTAACTTCAACTAAGGTGTTTCAATGGTGGATTCGAATTTAGTTTGATAGCATCTATAGAGGAGGAGTCGC